GATGGATGGATAGACAGAGGTATAGACAGACAGATGGACTGACTCGTGACAGTTGCTTTCCAGCCGTGCAAAAGTCCTTTTCTCTCTTCGTGGTTGGGTCACATGATCTTGTCTTGTTGCGCTTAGAACTCATGCAAGACGTCGAAGGGCTACAGTTTTCAGTTTTCTGATTCAGATCTAAACTCTGAAAGCCCCTCCGTGTTTTACGGCTAACCATTTCTGGTTTGGATTGCATGGCTACTCCTGTCAAGCACACATTTGAATGAAACACGTCTGGTCAAAAATGCAGCACGTGAACAAAGATACTACAAGATACTAAATGTCGTTTTCTCTTTTACTACGTTCGCAGTTGCATCGAGAAAGAGTTGTACGTGGAGACTTTAGTTTAAGTTTTCAGTATAATGGAAATTTATCCAAAAAAAAAAGTCCAAACTTGAGGCTGTATAGTTCAGTATTACCTATGATTGTTACCTATGAAAGTTTGCCTCGCAACTGTTGTAACAATAGAAGTCCAATAATTAAAAAAAAAAAAAAAAAAGAAATATATTTAAGATAGTGATCAGAGAGGATATTATCTACTATAGAACGCCAGTTTGTATAAAAACCTTGTTCTAGTGACCCCTGGAGGGGAGGGACAGGGGTAGTTCATGACCTTTACAGCCCATTTGTTGTTGTTGACTTGGTCAGAGCAGCATGTTCTACGCCCGATAATGTGAATCAGGAAAACCTCAGATGGCATTCAGATCCACAAACAGGTGAAATACCAAACTAATGTCAGGGCTGAATATGGAAAACAAACGATGAGCAGGAAAAGCAGGAAACCCTGTCCTGTATGAACAAACATCCCAGAGTTATCACAAAAATATTGAGGAAAAATAGAACGCGAACACATCGAGAAAAACACGAAAACAACAATGGAATCATTGAAAATAAATAAAGGAAGAAAGGGGAAAATAAGAAAATATTTGATGTATATTGATGATCAATATAATAATAATAAAACTCAAATCGATCTTGGGTCGAGCTCTGAGGTGATGTATATTGATGATCAGTGCCTCTGTAAAGTTAGTTACTCCTACAGATAAACAACCAACGACTAAGACATTGTCTAATAATTCATTATAATAATAATAAAATTCAAATCGATCTTGGGTCGAGCTCTGAGAACACTGACAGGACAGCGTTATGTCAGGTTTACGTACTCACAGATATCATGACCTTGGTCTGAATTCCCAGAATCCTTCACAGTCTTCAGTGTAGCTCTGCGCTGCATCCGCAAATCTGCCAATTCAGAGAGCATCACGACAACAAAGAGCAGAGCTTTTCACCTCCTCCCCCCCCTCCTCCCCCTCCACTGCTTTGGTGACCTCACCTTGGTTTCGTCTCCATTGTCCTTTTATCACATTTACATTTTTAATACTGTTTGTCTGTGAGTTCTAAGGTCAGTTTGACTCTGGCTCCTTTTTTGTTGTGCAGGTACAGTATTTTGTTGGTGCACAGGGAACTGCAGCATAAACACTGCTGGAAAATATCAGGAAAAATACACCAGCCACTGGGGAGGACGGGGGAGGGGTTGGTGTTGGGGTAATTTTGTAACACTAAGACAAAAACTCCAATCTAATAATAAACATCTCTGTAATTAGACTGTAAACAGTAGCTTTCTGCCCATTTGATCTTACTACGTCTTCACTTCCTCTCCTCTCTTTGTTATCTTCCCTTCCTCTCCCCTCCTTCCTCTCTCTTAGATTTTGGGTTCAACACAAACGAACCAAACCTTTTTACTTTTACTCTTCTTCTTCTCTCCTCTCAGCTCCACTTTCTCCTCCATTTAACTACATCCATTACAACCTCCATTCCTGAGGTCTAACCTCATCTGGACGGGTCTCTTTGTATCACCTTCATTCACTTCTGACCTCTCCTTGTGAAGACCTCCCCCCCCCCCCCCCCCCACCTTCCTTCAGTAGGATCTCTGGTATCCACCTTTTCCTCGACCCATCAGTTGGTGTTTTACTCTGATGTTTTCTTCAGTCTTACTTCAGTACTACAGTACTCTCTGGTTTCCTCTATCTTCCTCTTCTTCCTCTTTAACTTAGTTTCCATTTTTTCCTTTTTTAAATTTTATTTTACTCAGTTTATTTTTACTTTTTTTTACCTAAAAAAAAAGTCTTCCAGTTTAGTTTTATCCCTTTGACCTTTTTGTTGACCTCATGACTCATGATCATTCCAGGTCCGTACAGATCATCATCCTTAGAAATAACAGAAAGATTCGATCATTTTAGTCTGAACTTTAGCCCTTTCACTTTTGACTTGCTTATATAAAGCCCACCCAACACTGTGAAAGCATCTTTTTCAGCTCAGACTTTTCTCAAAATATCATTACAAGAGCATTGCAACATTAATCTGAGGACATTATAAAACCAACTATTTTCATACTTCTGTTTCTGTATCATTTTGGCTCTTTGGATTTTTCTTTTTCAAAATCCCACACACTGACACTAATTATCTTAAAAGTCCAAATGTATTTCTTTACAACAGAGGTTTTCAAAACTCTGACACCTGGAGAACATCCAAAGTACTTCAGGGAAGTGGAAACATTATCGTAATTTGTTTTTGGATCTTTGAAGATTTTGAAAACCCCCGGCTTCAGAAACAGTTCCATTTGGTGGCACAATGATTAGAATTTGTTTTGCCCTAATTCTTCAATTCCAGAATGTCACCTTGTTATATATAATTCTATAATTGTTTTTTTTATTCATACTAGATTTACTTTGTTATCCTATTTAAAACATATGGGAGGAATTAATTCCCAGGTCAAAGTAAACTCACTGAATGACGTCTTTAGGCAGAGACGTTTCAGGGGTCTTCGTGTCCTTTGACCTTTTCTGCACGTCCCAACTCCATGATTTTCACGATAACCTTACCAACCATATTCAGAAAATGTTGAAATTTGGGGTTTTTAAGAATAAGGACTCTAACAGGTTCGACTACTCTTTTTCCCCCGTCTTTTGCCGTTTCCTGGTCAGTGTTTTGTCTCCCCTCTCTCTCACCCTCAGTACATTTCTCCAGGTTTATTAAAAGGCTGACACAGTGGCTGACTTTCCCAGGGGAGAACCACGGTCCACTGGCTTTCAGGCGTTTTCCCTTCTCATTTACAATTGTGGAAACTTTTTACAGTACACACCGTACAGTGACGATGCATTTGAAGCTATTTCACAAACCACCGGCTCCTGAAACGGTTCCATTTGTTGACACGAGAAATTTACAACAAAACTTTTTCTTTTTCAATATTTTCCCATTTCTTCAGAGCTAAAAGGTCATGACCTTTGCGCTATGTAGTTCCAAGGACTTGATGGTTACTGCTGTGTAGGTGAAGTTTTTCCCCCGAAGTTCTTGAGTATTCGACATACAGTATGACTTCCGTTCTCACCAGGCTTAAATACATAGGAAGAGACGTCAATATTTTAACTTCATGTTTGAGCGTGCCTTCATGCAACATCAAACTGTGTAGATCTGCCTGCAGCGTCTTGAAAATCTCAACACATTTTAAAAAGGAATCATCTCGTCAGTCAGATGACACTGTGTCAATCTGATTTGAATGATTTAAACCAGTGTTTCCCAAACTGTTTTTTTCTGGGGACCCATATTTTAAAAGTCACAAACCTTCACGACTTTGGGAAACAATGATTTAAATGGAGCAGTGAACTCTTGTGAGACACATATCTTTAGTCTTCATCAATGTGGCCTCCATTTTGAAAACTTACAAATGGAACTACAATTTGGACTTCGTCAAATCTGCTGAATCCATGATGAAACTGTAATAGTACAGTAGGTAATGCAGCTCCGTTAAAAACCCGGGGTTCATTTTATGAATAGATATTTTTCATTTCTTTTCCGTATCCGTGCCGGGGAAACAAATTGCCTTTCCACTAAAACCTCTGTAAATTCCAAGCGGGCACTCCAACAAATCAAACAAAATCGTTCTTTTGAAAGTCCTGCTTCATGTAGAGTCATTTAATTATATATACTCTCGTACTTCTCTGCTGTACCTTTCATGATATACTGTGTTAAGATTTTTTTTTTTCATCCCTCGGTCGTAATTTCACAGCATTTTTTAACAGGAGTTTTTGGTCGTGTGGCTATTTGTAAACCCTAATTACAGGGCAGCAATTTTGAAAGCACTCTCGTCCGGTCAATTTATAAAATTAGAGCATTTTTTTTGTCCATAAAATAGAAGGACATATATATATATCTATATATTTCCAGTTCTATTTATTTGCAGCAGCAGTGAACAAGGCTTCAAGGGAAATGTAAAGCGCTCGGGAAAACAAACATACTACTGAAATGACTTGAATTTCCTGTTTCCTGTTTGAAGTTGGACGAACGGATTCCCATCAATAATTGGTTTCTTCCCATTTATTCTTAATAGCTGTTGATTTTTTTTTTTTTTTTTTTTTTTTGCTGGGATGTTCAATCTGCAGCACCTGAGACACTTAACACTATCATATGGTGTCGTACCAGGAAAATGCAGTTTATTTCACGTAATTGATGTGAAACAAAAAATTTCATTAAGGTATATTGTTAATAAATCTGAATTTCCTAATGTGTTCATGCTAAGTTTAAGAAGCTAAAAAATATTTGAGCATATAATCATCCCATACAAAGATACACTAGACAGAGTGAGATACAAAAAAAAAAAAAAAAAATCTCATGGTACATGAATTAGTTCTCTTGAAGTAATGAGGTAAATGTGAAATTCAAAACCAACCAAATATTATGCTAAATAAGTGTCAAAGCTGCGGAAAAAAAATGAGCTGATAAAATACAGAGGTTTTACAATACTATAGCAAAATATTATGCTAAATAAGTGTCAAAGCAGCAAAAAGAGAGAGCTATGAGCTTATTACATTCTTCTAAAGTGATCTCCAAATGATCTTAAATTACAAATAATTTTAAAATCAAACAACAACATTAATACCATTTCTTAGCATATTGTCAGCTCACAGCGAGTTAGCCTAAAAAGCTCTTAGAGTTTGTGGGATAAAAAATAATATAAATGTGGATTTTAAAAAGGGCAGAGATTTACAAGCTGATAAAATAAAAAAGAACAAAATTGAATGTATCAGACGTAGATGTGATTTGGTAAAATCCTTAGCCTCTTGCTAAGCTTTCAACTACACTTAAGCCAAAACTACTTTAAAAAAATAATAATAACCAAGTTTGGCTAATAACTAATAAATGAATGTCAAAGTAGTCAAAAGTCAGCTTTTTCTTCATTTTCTCTTACATTATTACAGTAACACATGCTGGATTTTACTGTGTTACGAAAGGCTGCATTAAATTGCTTCATTTTCTTCTGTGTTGTGAAATTCTTCTCCCAAATGTGAAATACAAACCCATTTTTATCTGTTTATTTTCAGGTTGACTGGCACAGCGCTGCCCTCACCAGTGATATCAAATAAGAACTGGCTTCGCATACATTTCACCTCAGACAGCAACCACAGGAGGAAAGGATTCAGTGCTCAATACCAAGGTATGGAACGCAGCAGTCTGAACTCTTACAGTGTTTGACAAAAGTATCGATCTCTGTTTGTTTGCCAGAAATAAAGTAAAAAAAAAACCTGGGTTTCGTTTCCACGAGATTTCAAACTGACAAGGATAAAAACAGTAATGAAGGCAGCGATGAGGAGGCTAGGTCGTGTTGCCGAGTTAATGCTTGATGATGATGCAGTAGGTGATGGGTCTCACCTGATAGGTTTAGTAATTGATTCAAAAAACAAAATCATAAAAATATATATTTTTGTAGTTGATGAATTAGATAAACCGATGCAACATGAATTGATCAAAAATTGATACAAATGCCTGACAGATTGTTTCACTTGAATTAAAACATGAATCGCATATCGAAGTGTAGGATGTAGCCTGTGTTATCGCAAAAGGATACAAATCGAAGCGTAGGATGTAGCCTGTGTTATCGCAAAAAGTCAGTGGTCATACCATGAGACTACACACTCTGGTACAGTAGGTGGCAGCGTGCACCTAAAAACGTTGGTTATGATTGCTATTAAAGCAATATCAGTTTGTCAGGTTCACCAGAACATTCCAGTTGCCGATGGTATTTTGCAGAGTTCTCACAAATAAAGGATTGTTGTATTTAATCATAATTTGTCTGGAACGATGGTAAAATCATATCGTGAACAAACAAAAATAACAAAATTGTATCGTGAGATGAGTGTATCGTTTCATCATGAGTCCATGGTCACAGATTCTACCGTAGCCGTTATCAAAAAGAGCGTTCCTTTTCATCCTAACTTTATCCTTCATGGTGGAGTGTCCTTCACCTATGGTGATGGAACCGTCATGTTATTGATGTTATGTATTTCATGTATAACTAATTGTAGTCATTGTTGTTTCTGCAGTTAAAAAGGCAATAGAGCTGAAGTCCAGAGGTGTGAAGATGATGCCCAGCAAAGACTCCAGTCACAAAAATGCCGTTTGTAAGTAAAATGATCGTTTACGTTTTATTTTTTTTGTTGTGGTTTTTGTCGCCGTGACTTTTAGAAATAAGATTAAACGGTGGTTCCTGCTCCCCAGTTTTTGACTTTAATCTGAAAATGCTAATGGATTCATGGTTAGCATTTTTTATTTTATCCGAGTTAAAAAGTTGTCACATCTGGACACACTGTCTACCTCTGCTGGTGTGAGACAGACATTCGACTCCAGTCCATAATAATGATTTCACAGCTGCTCCGTGACTTACTGCCTCCCAGTGGACAGGTCTTCTGTATTATGCTTTTTTAGCTTTTTATTAGGTTTAAACTTTCTAAATTTGTAAAATGCCAAGTGGAGTCCGGGGGGACGTGCTGTGACTGTTGTCAGCCAAGGCTGGAGTCGTGCCTGCTGCTTCTTAGCCATTCCTTCTGGAGGTGCAGCCAAGATTCTTGAAAGACACAGTGTGTTACCACAAGCTTACGTTTTGAATGTGTATAATGGTGACGAGCTCGGTTCTAACACACACACACACACACACACACACACTGAATGTCAACGTTAAATAATAACAACAGACAGGTATGAATGTTGGACAGAATCTGGGTAAGACGTCAAACTATGAAGTTAAATTAATCTTCAAGTAGCAGTAGATTAATCAGGGTTAATCTGATTAAAAAAACACGCCTTTTATGACAGACTCTTTTTTAGCTCACTTTCAGTTCAGATCCTGAAAACAAATGTTGTGATATTTTAATAAGTGAGAGAATCAATGGAACTAAGTAGCAAAAGAAAAAATTAGAGCAAAAACTAAAAGTCAATATTACAGTTTCATTTCTAGTGACAAGCAGTATTTTTAGTTTTGTTTCTTCTTCTTTTATTACTGGTCCTTGTTGTGCACAAAATCTGTAATTGATGGTGTTTTATTTGAAAATGAAATCCAAAAATCTCCTCTGATAGCCCCCCACAATGAATCATCTTCAGTGAATAAACACTTTGAATGCGTCTTTCCCTCAGAAATAACAGCTTCACACAAACAGGAGAAGAGCATCTTAAGTGATACATTTGGTTTTAATAAACCTGTTGTATATGCAGTTTAATATAGGAAGTAGAGCAGCGGACCCAGACCTCAGGATATATGTTTATAATTTGTCGCAGTAGCCAATTAGAATCCAATTCGACTTAAACGCCGCCATGCGATTAAAACAAGCAGCACAATAAACACCTCTGTACTGTGTGCACTGGTTGACATATGTTATTTCAGCTCGAGGATGTGTCTAAAATAGCACTCGGATTATATGACGGGGGCTTTTAATTATCACAGAAGGCCAGACTCACACCAGCCATTTCCTAGCATTTAGCTCTATAATAAAACCCTCATCAATAATTCTGCTGATTTACACGCTCAGCCGAGCATGTGCTGGTGCAATTAATGCCATGGCAGTGTTTCTGTCTGTATGCGTGTGAGTGTGAAGGAGGGGGAAAAAAAAACAAAAAAAAAAACAATGTGTGCCTTTTACAACCCAGATATTTTAAGTATACGGGAAACATCTGGTGATGTTAAAATAAACGGCTAAAAAGGTGTTTATTGTTTAAAACAAAATTAAAAAGCAGCTCCTGATGAGGGAGGAGGGCTGCAGGTGGCGACACATCATTAAACAAACAAAACCACTGATTCCTTAAGAAAGCTAATTTGGCCCACTAACCATAATAAAACATGAATAAAATTCATTAAATTACATTGTTTTTATCTGTGAGCTTGAGGGATCACCACAGAAATATATCTGTGAAACTGTTAACCTCAATGATATCAAAATAGCCTAACAATTAACTCTGTGTGTTGCTTAAACATAACATAAAAAAGATATTAGTGTGGATTATACTTTCAGTTTTATTTAAAAGCCAAATGCAGCTTATAATTATAGGTGCAGAGTAGCCAAGTATTGTATTATAGAGTAAAAAGTAGCAGACACGTTGTTGATGCAGGACATTTACAATTACTGTGAGAATGGTGTCGGTGCAGTCTGAATGACCGATGGGTTAAGGTGATAAGTCTCCTAAGTGGACTCAAAATAACACAGTTGACCAGGGAAGTGGAGAGAGGTCTGTGGGTGTGTATTACAGCAAAAATTGGTAAAGTGCAGTCAGAATGACGGATGGGCGGTAAATGCACAGGTTGATACTGTGGATGAGACGAGGGTGTTGCTGTTGAGAATTAAAGAAAGAAAGAAAAAAAACGTTAAATGGAGATCAACTACACGTGTTTTTGGAGGAAACACACCAGAGGAGCTGGCAGATGCTGCAGGCAGGATAATGTCAGGGAAGATCTATGGCCACAGTGAGAGAGAACATGGAGATGGCAGGAGTCATTCCACTGAAGGCAATAAATGTGGTAGAATAGAGGCAGATAAGCTGTGACGAACCCCGATAGGAGCAGCTGAAAAATGACAAAAGAGAAGTCAACAAGGACACAAAACAAAAACGGCTCAAGACGAGACAAATCCTCCAATGGTGGCTTTAACGGCAGGACCAGATTACCAGTGGAGTCAAAAAGTGACTGGAATAATAATCAAAGTCCATCACAGGTGATTTTGTTAAATAACCCATGGATTTTTCACACTAAATTATTTAACAAAATGACAGAAAAAAACCCCCTCTCTCTTCAATCTCCTAACGACGTCTCTTTATCTGCTCGTACAAACTGAAATTAAACCTGTCGTGGTCTCCGTGTAGAGCAGAGTGTTCATGAATATGTGAAGTGGAAACGAAGAGTGGTGCTTGGTGAAGGCTTTGCATCCAACACAGATTCTCCACACTTCCACTTTTAATGCACACACTCGGATACACGCACAAGCACACTCCTATACAAAGAGGTTTCCACATGAGAGGATCGCCTGGAGTTAGCCTGCTGAGTCTGACGAAAACATCTTGTTCAGCAGTTCCTCTCCTTCCATTGAGGTTTCACTCCGGCTCCTTTAAATACAACACATTACAGTACGTCTCAGTGCCTCCTTAGCAGCACAGTGGGATTCAGATTGGAATTCTTTGGTGTTGACCCTGATACTGATTTCAGGAAGTTTTGCTCAAGTTACAACATTGTAACGAACTGTTCTGGGGGTGAAAGTGGTGCATGTGCAAACAGGACTGAAACAGTACCTCAGGTAAAGCTGGAGAACCCAGGTCTTGTTAAGTTCCTACTTAAGGTTTTAGTCATTTTGAGTGAAAATGAGGGAAGAAAACCCCCTGAATACTGAACGAGTGGAAGCGTTCTTGCTATAGGTATATATCTTAGTCGGTTCTACAGTGTAGCGGTTAGCACGCCTGCCTTGGTAGCAGAGAGTCCTGTTAACAGCAGATCTGCTGCTAACACAACCATTTCCTGAATACGGGATCAATATAGTACAGATTGATTTATTTATTTAGTGAGTTAGACATGTTAATTGAATTCAAAGACTAATCAACTATTTATTACAGTTGATCAGATTAGATATTATATCGTCCGATCGTGTTGGAGTATATTAAACTCTGTTGAAGTTCAGCTTTGTAGTAGCACTGATTGCCAGTTTTTACAGCGCGGTTGGGCGATAGTTGGAAAACAGTGGCAATAAAATGTCACTTCCATTTAAGATACGACGACGGTCTAATTCCAACCCTCGTACTCACTGGGGTTTTACAAAACGCGCCCAGAAGGGCGAGGTGTCCTGACAACAACAGCGTTGTATTTTCTCCACAGCAAAAGGTCAAGTCCCGTCAATGTTATTTCTGCAGCAGAAATTCACAGAACACGTTCATCCGAATTGATTTTACAGTTTTTAAAATTAGAATTAAAACGTTCCTCCTAGAAACCCTGTTTAACAAGATAAAAGAGGAACGTAAACGAGATCAATATTATATTGACTTTACTTTAACAGTACAAAATAGAGCAGAACAAGTTTTGCAAATATTATTGAGAACCAAATTAGATCTCACACTGAGCAGCATTTTGGCAACGGTAGAGGAAAAAAAAAACTCCCAGAAAGAAATCTCCAGCAGATCCAGGATCAGTTTTCAGCCGTCTCCCTCGACAGTGTGAACAGGAAGACCAAATAAGGGCAAGAGCCAATCAGACGTACTGTGTGTTTCACCTCTTGTCTTATCAACTTTGTCTTCCTGTATTAACTTACTGTGAACATCCCTCTTGTTCTTGAAAATCGGTTCCAGAAACTCACTCTGTCTCCATTTACTTAGCATCCTCCCAGTCTCTAGGATTGTGTTAAACAACCTGGTCAAAACTTCCACTGGTGTTTTCTCCTAAACACCTCCATGACTCCACGGGGATGTCATCTGGACCAACAGCCTTTCCACACTTCACGCTCCTCAGAGCTGCCCTCTCTTCTAACTCCTTACTAACTCCTTACTAACTCCCCGTGCTTTCTCATTAACCCGCTGACCTTCAACTCTCACACGTTTCTCATTCATAAGCTCCTAAAAATACCATCTCCCTTCACACAGTATCCTCAACAAACAGTACCTTTCCCTCACGATCTTTCACCAACCTGTTTGTACAAATGATCTAGCCAAGCTAAGCTAAGCTAAGCTAGGCTAATTCTTCTCTTCTGGTACAAAGGCTAATATTTATCTTTCTGTTCGGGGAAAAAAAGGTCATGTTTAGGAATATTTTTTTTCTGAATAATTTTGATTAATAAGGATGATGATTAATCATGATTATTTTTGAATAATCTTCAGCTAAATTTCTGGACAGTTTCCTGTTGTAGTGTCACGGTAGTGCAGTGTGTGTGTCTTCTTTGTGTGTTGTATAACGATTATAAAAGAAACCAGAGACTGATGATAATGAGTTTTACCTGTCGGCAGAGTGAAGCGCTTATGAATCACAATCTACAGGCGAGAGCCTGTTACTGCCCGCAGCCTGTATGGAAGCACACACTAATAGACAGACACATGAGAATTGGTTCAATTCTCTTTGAGTCTCTGAATGAATAATTCTCCTAATGACGATTGATTTAATTGTGCAGCGTGTGAGGCCGACGTGACTTCAACCTCTCAGTTTATGGACAGACTTAAAGCTACAGGTTCCCAATAACTCTGCAGTATTTACACTGTAAAACCATTGTCAGACGTCATCAGGGCGCTGGTTCTCAACCTTGGTGTATTTTTCTTACTAGAATTATTCTTTTGATTATGTTTATTATACCGTGTTGCAAATACAAAGTAGTCCTTTTTTGTAATCAACTGCTAGACATTTCAGGTGACTCCAATTAAATTCCAGGTGACCCCATGTCGGGTTGTGATCCCAAGGTTTAAAAACACTGATTTAGTGAGTATCATTAAACCTCCTCTTCCTACTTGGGGCCATAATGAGGTCACACACCAACGCACATCATCAACTGAACTGGATGTGAAGGGGTCTTAATTACATGGAAGCCACACAGCATTAAAATGGTCACACGTTATTTGTCATGTAATGATGATGAAAATGGGAATTATTCAGTTTTACAGTTCACACAGACACAGGCTCGGGAAACTACTTTGGATGTTTTGCTTATGAAGGCATAAATAGTTGTTTATTTATATTTTGTTTCGCTGTAGAATCTGTTTACATGATTGATCACCGTGTACAGAGTGTAAATATTTATCATGGTGTAGTAATAGGCCTTATATTTATATAAACAACCCACAGAAATCCTTATTGTATTGGACCTTAGATGTATTTGAAACATTATTAAAAAAAATAAAAAAAATATTACCTTTGTCTTGAGATAAAAAAAACAACATTATAAAAAAAAATATTACCTTTGTCTTGAGATAAGATTTAAATCATATCAGGTAACACTCTTTTTTTTTACCATGCGCAGCACAGACAAAATACTTTGAACTTTTAATCAAACTTACCATGCATAGCACATACAAAATACTTTGAACTTTTAATCAAACTTTAATCAATTTCCCATGGCTTCACTTGTGGCAGTAGACGACTGCCTTCGCTTCTTGTCCTGATTCTTGACAACTCGTTTGAACGGACATGGCCAACCTTATAATTTGGAGTCATTTAAATCAAAGTTCTTTTCTGGTACGTTGAATGGTCAGATATATAATTTTCACACGGTTTCCTGGAAAGCCAGACTGCCGACCTGTGTTAAAGGGCTCGGCTCTGTTCTGCATTATGTGTCATTATTACAGAAAGGTGGGAAGACGGTGATTAAAGGGTTTCTCTCCCCAGACAACGACCTAGCACCTGAATGACTCCCCTACCCTGGAGGGTCATATATAAGTCCTACCCAGCCTTGACCTGCAGAATAAACGTGTGGAGCGACTATAAATGTAAAAGTTGTGAGATTGTTTACTGCAAACACTTGGCCTTGTTTCATCAGGAGAAAATCACATGTTGTTCTCAAAGACCTGGGGCTCAGGCCTTTCAGGTGAGTTCTGAGGACTTCAAGAGAATGTCACCTGGCTGTTTAGCCACTGGAGACGGCAGACAGCTCTCAGGGTGATTGCCCTGTGAAACATGAGCAGGTGGAGGAAACAGAGAGAAGGCCAGAGTGGATAAGAGTCGGCCACGAGAGTGAAACAGAGCACATCAACGTAGCAGGTGTCTGAAGAGCAACTGAAACGCTTTCAGCTGAGATGCAACAACATCATGCGTTCCCTAGCCTCCTACGCTAACAGAAACTATTACCTAATCTTAATCTTAAACTCAGTATCAGGTTAGGTTATTTATATTAGGGATGAAACAGAACAAATCCCAGGACCGGGCTCAAGACTTCCCGCTCAAAAACAAGTTCCAAATCCAGCGACCCCGCACTCCGTGAAGGCCGTATGCTGCAACTTGTTGCCCAGTGGTCAGTCAATGTGGTTTAGTGACCGTTGCCATCATGGGTAGGACATTTGATTGACATTGATAACAGCACGTGTGAGATATTCTAATGTCATAATCTGTTCAAGGTTTTAAAAAGGGGTCATCAAAATACGTCATAATCTGTTCATACTCAGATTTTGTCATTCAGCTTCAGTTTTTAACGGCTGTAAATTCACATTGAAGGTTTTAAAAAGGGGTCATCAAAATAAAAAAGTAAAAATTAAACAACAAACACTTGAACCTTTATTAAATAAATGTTTTAGGTGTTTTTTTTTTAAGGAAAGCGTTGCTGTGATCGTATGGAAATGACGCCATGTGACACACGCTTGTGTTTCAATTCTGAACATTCTTTAAGGTGCAAATAAGGGATTAAGAGAGCTTGAGTTTTTTTTTTGACACCAGCCCAGCTGTAATACAGTATTTGGCAGCACTCTTCTAAAACCACAGTCTATCGGTGTTTACATGTTTTTTGGATGTGTTTCAGCAAATGAACCTTTATACATTCTTTTTTTTTTTAAAAAAAAGAAAGAAAAAATTGGACGTGTAATAAAGAGAAAGGGGTGGATGAAAGAAAACAACAAATAAAAGTGTGTTTGTGTGCGGATATTTGGAAGGGACTTCAAAAACAACAAAGCAGAGCCACAGCTGCTTCTGGTTTTTTTTTTTTTTTCCCTCACATCACCATGCTAATGCAGTTTCAATCAAATCACCAGCGAGTCACACCCTCGCACAAATGCAGCAAATCATCCCGACACCTTTTATGCTTGGATTCACAAAACTTTGGTACGCCCGCACAAATTGTGTGCATCTAAAAAAGAAAAACATTTCAACAGTACTACAGGTAACAAAAAGAAAGAACTTGCTGTTTTTTGTCTTTCTGTTTCAGCAGTATATGACTAAAATCTAAATATTTTTGTACAGAGGAATGATGTTAGAAAATATTTTTGTACAGAGGAATGATGTTTTGTCTCCATTAATCATTATGATAATATCTGATAATACCTGTTGGCCGATATTATCGGATTTCCGATATCAGCATAATTTTGTAATATCGATAGAAATCGCTTTTTCCTTTGATGATGACAACACGATAACGTAATTCAAGGGTTTTGCCCAGATGATCTGACTTTAAGTAAAAAGTTGTTTATTCTTTGACCGCTCGACTGTAGGTAACACCTAAATAATAAAAAGGTCAAATGTTGATGATCGTTTCTATTTTTTTTTTCTTCCCCCAGTGAGTCAGAGTGGACTGGCTGGTGATGTTTGTCCAGATCCTGGAGTTCCAGAAAATGGCAAGAGGATTGGCTCCAACTTCCAGTAAGTTCATTTTTATCGTTGATACTCTAGACTACTGTCTGTGAAGATTCTCAGTCATCCAGGTCATGGCCAAGGTTGAAGAGTCTGATGGGTCGTGGCGATCCTCATCAGAAAGGTTTCGGTCAACTGCCTCTTTGATGTGTGAAACTGAGGTCAATCTTTTGGGTATTGTTCCTAAGAGAGCCTTACATGTGGCCCCCCTCCTCTGTTGACTGATGGTTTTTGGTCTGGTGCGTTCCTTCAGTGGATAACGTTAGCTTGATAACTTGGGAAAAGTATATATTCATATATGGAGGATGGATGTTATATAAAAACGTCTCGTCATGATTGTACCTCTCAAGTAAATCGACACAGAAGTGTTGAGGAACTTATCTCAGTCAACAATAATCCAAACGTTGGAAATAAAAAAAAGAATTAGACCAAGTTGGGATGATAAATTATTCAGCGAACAGAGATGTGTTTCAGTCGCCACTGGCTCTTTTCTACAGCACGTCCAGACAACAGACGAGCAGTGAGTGCCAGTTTGCCTCTGTCAGTTCCCAGATATTGGCTGCAGCTCCGCATTTACATGTAGATTGAAGTGTTTCTGAAAGATATTTTTTTCTACGTTTTTTTAATATTTGGTTCAAACAGTCATTCCATTGTCCTTCAATACTAACATAACACATTTGACACGACAAACGCATCATTTAACATAGGAATCATTATATATAAATACAATACTAATATAGTGTATATATATATATACACATTTGTTATTAAGGGAATCTGAAATACATATGATAGCAAACTAAGAACAAAGCAGAAATAATTGTAAATAAAATAATTAATACATTGTTATAAAATAAATTAATTATTATAATTATAGAATAACACAGTAAGAGTAATAATATTTAATTAACGCCATTGTAACAAACATGGAACAAGCAAAAATCTTTTTTTTTTTTTGTCTTTAACCTTCTGTTTCTGTCAGCCAGCGGCGCACGTCACCTGTAACTTCCTGTGGTGAACTTCTGGTCCTAGACTGCAGTTCTGGGTCATTCACATTACCGTTATAGCTTTTTTAATCATGCTACGTAGCTCCTCTGTCGGTTTTATCGTGACGCGCTGTTGGGTTTACAGGACTCTGTGGTCAGGTCGGAGTTTCCGACACAGATTACCTTAAAAAGTTGGAAAATATATCAGGAGTTTTCGAACCATTAATCACGCTACGATCTGGTACGTTTATCTAATCAGCTGAAAAGAAGACATTTTTTTATGAGATAAGTCTTGAGTGATTATGAGATAATCCTCTTCTGAGGCTAATCTCTCGTTGTGTCGAGATTCTAAATATACCTGCGTCTCATCCAGTCTTCTGCTCTTACCTCTGCTTATCCTGGTCTAGAAGCTCAGACAATCCTCTCGCCTAATCCTCCTCGCTGAGGATTTCTGAGAGCTTCAACTTTGGCGGCGAGATGAGTAGTATTTTACCAAGTCTTAGTTTTACTTAAGTACTTCCTACTTCCTTCTGAACTCAGTTTAGGCTCCCAGAAGGAATCCTGACCAGGTGCCGGCGCCACCCACTGGTTCCTCCATTTGGAGAGGAACAATCCCTTCACTTTGACCTGTTCATGCTACGGACTTTCACTTTTCAACAAACATTCTCAAAGCTAAGCCTTGGTGGGCCACATAAATATGATGTGGTGGGCTGGATTCTACCCACGACCCTTCAGTTTGGCATCATGGGATCTGTAGTATGTTTTTTTTTAATAGTTAGAAGTAAAAAAAATTATTTAAAAAAAAAACAGAAATAGATTTATTGTTTTTGCTTTGAACTTTGACCTTCCCTTAGAATATTATCTTTATATCCAATAATAATTAAAGAAAAAAAAACATCCATAGGATTTAAGGTGGTACCAGCTGGTCACTGTCTGTTGAACAAACTGTGTAGGTTGAATATTCCCTTTATATTTTATTCATTTTAATCTCTTATTTAAAATAAGTGTTGTAATAAGAAAATCAAGTGGGAGTCGAGGGGTGGCATATTTTTATCTTGGAAATTACAGTCTTTTTTTTTCATTATTTCAAGCTCATTGTGTTCTCTGCTCTGAGCCTCTCTCTCTAAGACAAACTCTGCAGGACCATCAGTGTAGTCATGTTAATTAGTGCAAGATCATTAACGCTGTGGGTGTGTGCATGTATGTACATCTGTGTGTGTGTGTGTGTGTGTGTAATCCACTGCATGGTGATGTGGGTGTTCCGATGAGACTCGTGTGTTTTCAGGTTTGTCATTATGAGATTCAGGAGTGGAAAAAAAAAAAAAAAAGAAAATGAGGAGAAAAAAGTGCGTCACTGCAGATGGTCAACAAAGCTGTGACTGTGTCTGTCATGGAGTTTCACATCTGCAGACATCGGTGGTGGTGATGGAAAGATTTTGGGGCTTTTTTGTTGTTGTTTCTTTTCCAAGGGATTGGCAATTACACCAAAGCACTCTTTCTTGGAATGGTGGATTTCACAGTGTGTGACTGGGTGGAGTATCATCAGCATCACTGGAGCACTGGTGACTGTAAAAGCGAATGGTTCAACTCCGTGTGACGGAGGCACTCACTGAGAAATTTGGCACGGGTTTACGACTCCGCCACGTTTAACAATGGAACCGCACTGAGGAAACATCCAGAACGTTTGGCCAGGTGGTAGACCGCGGTGCGTCACAGCAGAACGGCCGTCCTGAGCTTTACCAGCAGGACCCCATGCAGATACACACTTAGAGAAAGTGAATCTCCCATGCACGTGTGAGACAGCGGGGTGTTGGAGAGAACAGGGTAACAGCAGACAGTAAAGTCTGGAGGTAAAGGCGGGAAAATAAAAAGAGAGGCTGAAGAAAACTAAACAACCAAGACTGTCAGAGTCCCATCAAAATAACCAGGACTACCACTGCTGTTGACCTGTGTTTGTCCCTGTTGTCTCTCTAACAGAGTGGGCTCCAGTGTCCAGTTCAGCTGTGATGACAGTTATGTTCTGCAAGGATCCAAAAGCATCACCTGTCAGAGAGTGACCGACACACTGGCTGCGTGGAGCGACCACAGACCCATCTGTAGAAGTAAGTCCTCAAAGCTTCAGTCACATATAAGTGAAGGTGAACCATGTGTCCACACGGTGGTGTTCTGAGACTCGACGTACACACTGTTGTTTTTTTTTAGTTCACTCTGGAGGTTCCTAGAGTGAGAACATTTGATCTGGTCTCCACATCCAGAAGTGAAGTGATGTGGACAAATGGTCTGTGGTTCACTGTGGTTGGAGGAGACTGTCGTCTGTGGAGGCTTTATACCCAATCAGATTAAATGGCATCAGTTTTATTGATACACTACATTACATTTAACAACACACAGGGCTGAGACTGTGATGATAGTAACGATGATGATAGTAACGATGATGATGATGATGATGATGAAGATGACGATGATGATGGTGATGACGATGATGATGACGATGATGATGATGATGACGATGACGATGACGATGACGATGACGATGACGATGACGATGATGATGACGATGATGATGATGATGATGGTGATGATGACGATGATGACGATGACGACGATGATGACGATGATGACGATGGTGATGATGATGATGATGATGATGGTGATGATGACGATGATGATGATGATGATGACAGTTACGATAAAGATGATGTTGATGACATAATTGTTATAATAGTAATGATGCTGATTAGCTTTATTGTAACAATAGTGATAACAGTAATGGTGGTGATAATGGTGATAAGAATGGTAGTAATGATGATGATGGATGTTGTTGGAATCCGGCTACAAAAAAAACAAGCTTTTCTCTTTTACATCAAGTCTCAGAGAAACAGAGAAAAAGAAAATTGAATTCTCTAAAGTCCGCCACATTCACGTCTATATTCAGGGGGTGATGCAGTCACCAGGCGAGGAGCTGACCTGTTGTCTGAGATTCAATGATCTGCTCCCACCTGAGATCTCCAGGCTGGAGCCCTGAAGGCAAAAACATGTTCACCTTTACTCTCATTACCCTGGACACTGAGTGAAACTGTGACAAGGTTACAGTCTGAGCTCCTTCAGGTGTCTCCTCCTCGTCTCCTGGGAGGACAGAGTCCAGAATACAGACAAAAGCCGTTCTGAACTACTTGGCTAAAGTAAACAATGCAGTAACAGAGTTCTCATCTCTTCAGACTCTAACTGTCGTCATGGTAACTGCATATCATTTGTGACGCTCCACTACTTAAGCCTGGTTTCACATCTTTGCATCTCCGTCTGAATCTTCTTTAGTGATTTCAATACATTTATTCCAACTTTTTTTTTCATCCCATTTTGTGAAGATGTGTCATCATATGTAAAATCTCAGGGATTATTTTTCTGGCAGCAAAAAAAAATAAAACCTTCTCTGGTAAGGTTCAGAAAGACCAACTTTTTAGATTGACAATATAACGTGAAAATCAACGTCTGGACGGTTGAAATTCAGCCCTGATTCTTCGCCCGGAAACAAATTATATCAGAGAGGAGTTTTCAAAAGTCTGGGTGAGTTTTTTTTTTTTTTTTCACTGTTTTGTTTTTGTGCTGTTTTCCATGAGTTTGATGTGTAAAATCACTTTGTTCATTTTCTTTCTGCTCGGCTGAGTGACCAAATAAACAAGTGTGTGAGTGGCGGAGCAATGATGCAGGCAGTCGCAGCGTCTCCGTGTGTTCTGACAATACTGTCGCTTTGATTGCTCCTCAATGAAGGAAGAAAAAGGGAAAACAGGCAGAGAAAAAGTGTGTGTGTCCACTGCGACCGATGTCACTACACATGTCCGTCGGTCAGTGTCACACACCTTTAAGCTGAGTTTGCTGTGAAGTGTGCGTTTGTGTGTTTGATTGACAGGCGGTCGCCTCGCTCCGACACATACTGTAGGCTCCCTGTCACGTTGTATTATAGCTTACATGTACGTTCGTCTTTGTGTGTGTGTGTAGGAGAAAAAGAGAGAGCGTTAAAAAACTGGATAAAAATGGAAAATATATACAGGATTAAAAAAAGATTTTTCATTTGAAATTAAATATACATTTTATTATTTAATTAATAATTAATCAAACACACACACACGCCTCTTTATGTTTGAAATGCTTTAAATCTGTAAACAAATATTTCACCCGCCTCTTTATGATTGAAATTTAAATCTGTAAACAAATATTTCACCTCCTGGTATTTTAACCTCCTGATAATGTATAGAAGTCATGTTAACACAATAAAAAAAAAAGTTTCAAATGAAGTCCCAGTGCCGGGACCTCGTACCACAGCTTTTGCCAACCTGTCAATACAGGTTAAAAACAAACATGAAAAAAAATTGAGTGAATTAATCCAGTCCAGTTTTAACTCACAATAACATATTCCTATATATACTGTACGTAGAGAAAAAATGGAACCAGTAGGGGGCAGAAAAAACAAATGTGATTTAATATAAATAGAGATACAAATGTGAAAAAAAAAACAAATTCAAATGTTTTACATATTTAAATGCAAAAATGATTTGAAACTTAATCATAAAATGCAGATAAAGGAAAAAAGTGAATTATTTGAAGTATTGGTTTATTAAGAGTTTGAGGCTTTGTACACTGTACATCGTGCATGATAAGATGTTAATTGTAAGTAGACACCGTCTGTGAATACTACATGATAGCAGTATAATGGAACACTCACCTCCTTCTATAGTAAAAAAGATGTTAACATCGCCTTCTGTGTCTCCTGAGATCACGCTGCCATTCCCCTGCTGTCCACCAGGTTCACCTGAAATGAAGATAGAGGAAGAAACACAGACGATTAAAAAAAAAAAAAATGAAGTGACACATACAATTATAGAACAGCCTAGAATTCTTCCTGCCAAACACAGAACAACCAGCTGGCAAATAAAATGTTGTTCACAGTGATTTTCCCCTCTATTTTCCTCATCAGTTTCCTAATTAAAAAGAAAAATAAATTCACACACACACACACACACACATACTGACACACATGTGACAATCAGAACGAGGCAGGAGAGAATGATGAAAAGGAAAACAGAATCAATAGGCTCTTAGAGACAACAGGAGCAGCCAGGTGGAGGTTACACATTTCGAGACCGTTCCTTTTGTTCCGTGTTGTTACGCGGCATCATCGACCTCCTGGGATTCAAACCCACGAGCCTCTCTCGTTCCCTCCTGAGACTTAGCTGTTAATTAGAAGCGGGTCTCCAGGATGAACTGCCGTGAATGTGTGTGTGTGCACATGCTTGTGTGTGTGTGTGTGTGTACGAGTGTGTATCAGTTCTCTTTTCTAATTAACAGGCAGATCACTCATCTGAGATCCTCTCTGCCCCCCTCCTCCCCCGTCGCCCCCCTCTGTCTCCTGTGCCTCCATCTCTATCTCCCCCCTCAGCGCTTCCTCCTTTAATTTCATTTCCGTCTTTTTCTCACTTCACATTTCACCGTCCTCTGTTTCTTTGTCCACACGACCTTTGTCCAGGTTCTTTCTTCTCAGGGTCTCACTTTGTTTTCAATTTTCCAGCCTTTACATTTTCTCCTTTGGTCTCGTCTCATACAGGTGACTCTAAGCATCGTGTTTATTAGTCAGTAATTCATGTGTTTATGAACAAAATAAACACATCATTGGTTTATTTGAATGAATAGCGACCTAGCTTAGCGCTCGTTTAGACGGTGGTGGTGGTGAGATGTTTGTGCTGCCGGAGAAAATCACCAAACAATATAAAATTACATTTATTAATATTAATGTTCATTTCCTTGTCATGTAATTTCCCTCCAAACCCTGTTGGCCACTGAAAACTAATTAGTAACTGAGGTCAGGCTACAGGGTGTGGTCGCAGTTATTGACGTATTAGTCAACCAATCGAAACGTGATGAACAAATCTGGCAGGACAGGAGTCCAGTCGACGTCATGTTCACTGATTGAACCACAGTTACGCTGACTAATGAAAAAACATTTTATAAATGGTGGTTTAAAGATTCAGAAATATAAAAAAATATATATATAAAAAACATATATATGTAAATATATAAATATGTATTTATACATGGATACATACATATGAATATGTGTATATACACGCCTATGTATCCCTTAAATTTTCATTTATTTTTTTTCTACTGATATTGTAGGCCAGTGTTTCCTGAACTTTTTTTCTGGAGACCCATATTTTAAAAGTCATCAAGCTCAATGTTGAACCCAATCCCAGTCAGTTCTGGTTTGAGAATAATCTTTTTTTTTTCCCCCTCACCATCGCAGCCTCTTCTCTCCTCCTCAGGTCAAGATTGGCACAGAATCCTGAGATTTGGACTCTGATTTCACCATATCTCCATTCACCTTCTGAAAACCTCCTTGTTTCTGTTTGCCCCTCTGCAGCTCGTACGTGTGGCAGTAACCTGAGGGGCCCCAGAGGCGTCATAACTTCTCCTAACTACCCCGTTCAGTATGAGAACAATGCACACTGTGTGTGGGTAATAACTGCCATGGACTCTGGGAAGGTGAGCTGTCCTCTTTTTTTATTATTATAACATCAACATAATGTGGTGGAAACAGAGATCATATATGGAAAACAAACTGATGATGAGCAGTGGCAGGAAGCTGAGCTTTGAACATGAGCTGCAGAGTGAAACGATTATGTGCAGAACACCGGACTCTACGTCTTATTAAATATGGTTCTCTTTCATGTTCTCTCTCGTATGTCGGTGGTTGACGAGGTTACGATGGCTGTTTCATATTTCTTTTACCAACTCAACTGAAAAACCAGACCTCATCACAGGGAATGATGATTATTATATTATATCATATATATTGAGAGACAAGAAGATTAGTTTCATTTTCTTGAGTTTTTTGTAGTTATCGGTGCTTTAGAAGTTGAAGTTAGACGTGAGGAGACTGATGTGAAAACCTGTGGTAGCTGTACTCCACAAATCTGAATTCTGATTGGTTAATATACAAGTGGCTCAACAGTGAAGCGGGCTATGACATGATAAAACAAGATGAGTATCAGGAAGTTTCTTTTAAGTATTTTACAATGGAAAAGCACAAGTCCAGAGTGACCACCTCTGCAGACTTGGTCTTCAGTTGATTCACATTTATTTATTTAAAGAAAAAGAAAAGACTACAACTTTGAGACATCTAATGAGTTAGAAAACTTCCTTAAAACTTCCCAGCAGTGTCTCCTGTCTCCTGTCTCCGCTGCTGCTCTTCTCTCTCTGCCTCCACTCCTTCCTCCTCCTGTCCTCCTCCACGCCCACGCCCGTCTCAGGTTCATCTACTGGAGCGTCTCAGTGCTTTATCCTCCACTCGTCTCTGCTCTCGTCTACACCTTCCCGCTCTTTCTTTCTTCTTCTACTCTGTGCTCCAGTCTCTGTTCACCTTGATTTGTCTAAAATGTTAAGTTACAAAGTGGGTCGAGCAGAGAGAACACTGAGAGGAGGCCGTTTGAAAAACCTGCAGAGAGCAGACGCTGCAGCTCGGGACTAAAAGCATGAGCGGTGGACAGAGCAAAGGACTGAACGTCCAGCTACTTGTCAGCCCCATTGAACGTTTTCTCTAAAGCTGGATTGAAATGGTGTCTAGTCCGTGGTGGTTCTCAGAAAAATGCAGAGATGTCTGGATATGATCCAGAAAAAAAACACACAAACAACATAAAAGACACAGAATACTTTTTTTTTCTACCTTTTTGTTCGTCTTTCTTCAACAGCGGTGACAACATTGGATGACCTCAGTTTGTATCTATGGGCGCTGCACATGTGTTACCACACACACACACACACATACACCGTGTGGCTGTGTGAGATTTATTTGAGTAGGGTCGGAAATTGCCGATGTTTCATAATGTCCGTAATGTTCACGTTCATAAGTCCTTCAGATATTAATCATCTCCCCTGGTGTCAGGTGACAGATGGAAAGCCATCCTTGGTGGGGGGGGGCAGTGAGGGGGTGTTTTACTGTAGCTGGGGGGTCTCAGCCTGAGAACATGCCTGTTTATCTGCATGTTTCTGTGTTAAAGATGCTCCAGGTTTGGTAGAAGGTTATGAATGTTCATCAATGGCACATGATCAGAGAGACGCCACCTGCTGGTGGGGGAGGAGACGAGGGCAGAGACAGAGACAGAGAGGAGGAACCTACAGGTGGAATAAAGTAGAAGAATAATGGAATGGAATAGAATAAAATCTAATTGAACAAAAATATTGAATATAATAGATATTGTTATTGTTATTATTATTATAGATAGTAATATTGTAGACGTCATTGAATCGTTCAGATACTAATATTGTAGACGTCATTGAATCGTTCTGTTTCTCTGGTTCCACTCAGAGCCACTCTGTTGCCCCATTTCCTCTCTGTTCTGCCTCAGCCTGCGTTGCCGTCCGACTGACCATTAATCCCGACGACTCATTTTCTTCAATAACAGGTTGTACAAAATTGAGACCGAGGCGAGTGATTGCCATTTCACACTTTCGCGTCTGGGTTTTACGTGGATAAATTTAAATAGCAAATCCCGAAAGCCGGCTCTTTGTGCCTCGGCTGTCGCTCACTGCTAAATTCAGGATAAAGGCGACGGAATCGATACAGTTTGTACGGCTGTGACAGGTCGTCTTTGAACGCGGCGTCAACTCGTCTCTGCTGTCTTCTTACAAATGACAATGGATCGGGAACAATTTTTTATGAATGCTTATTTTCTCTTCAACAACTTAATTGCCAACCGACAGGGACTGTGAGCAGCGTCACGGGGAGCAAACTTTCTTGTATTGTTAAAGAGAAAAACAAGGCGTAAAAAAAATAATGAAACCTGTTGTCACACACGATCATTGGCTCCGCAATCATCGCTTTTGACTTTTCCTGATGAAAACCTATAAGTGTTTGTGTATTGTGTGTGTGTTTGTGTGTGTGGATCTGTATACAGTGATTTCTTGGGTCGTGGTCATGTTTTCAAGGTGTCAGGACAAATTCCATGACTCTCTATCAAACGTTTGCTCGTCAGAATGTGCCCAAAAACACCAATAATATCATGAGCGATCATTCGTTAATGCCCCCGTGACCCTCCATCAACACCACACACTGCCACACTGTTGATGGCGTTGCCTGATAATGAAGCCCAATAGTCTGTGTATTTCAGGACACAAATTAAACATTATTATCGTTGCTCTGGTCACTGGTTCCAAGGGTGCTACTGTTTTTTTTCTCTCTTTCAAATCAATATTCTCTGCAATGTCAGTGAAAATAGACCCAACAGTGCAATCAACAACAGGCAGATGGATTGACGGTCAGGTTGTCAACCGGCCAGTATCGTTGCCAGATTTGGACATAAGAATAAAAAATAAAAAAATGAGCGTATCAGCAATGTTGACAGGGTGGAGAAGGAACCTGTGCACAAGTAGTCAGACGATGACTAGTTTTTAAGCTTTACTTTGTTTTCACATATTGGTAAATTTAATATTATGTCCTTGGACAGAAGTCTTCTGAAACACACCTTTAAATATTTGATGTGTTGAAATAACGAAATAGTTAGACAAACCAACACACGTGAGGCTTTTTTCCTTAACCTACAAACTTAACTTTGTTCATCCCACAATGGGGAAATTCACAGTGTGAGTCTATGCAACCCACTCAGGCTGCCACTGGAGGCGCTATTAGGTATGTGGTTTCTCTGAGGCTTAAACCCAGAGCCTTCTGTGTGTAAGGCAGATGTTATAATCGCTACAATATAGAACCAGAAATAGCATAAAGTTTGTCCTAAAATATAATCGATCTATAATCGTTTAATGACCAGGAAGATCAGATAGTGTTAGCTTAAAAATGTATCTTAAAGATATTGACAGATATAATAATATAACATATAGAGCGCTAACAAGGGAAAAAAGCCTCTTTTCATAACATGGTGATTTTCTACCATGATCCTTTACAACAGTGTAATTAGCATGGGCTCACCATAGGTCGTCCATGTTTTATAGAGTTTGGAAATAAAGGGCTGAATGAAATACTTTGTACTCTGTGAATAGCAACTAACAGTTCACAGTGTTCCCTGTTTTCATAGACTGAGCAAAATGCATTAGTGGAGTGCAGAGTAAATAATCATCAGTGTCTATGATAATGGCCACATTCGCCAATAGCTGCCTAATTAGCACATTATCTAAGTTCAACAGTTTACGCCATTCTGGCTCCTGAACATAATTTGGCAGTTTGTCTGACCATAATTCAATGTTAGCTCAGTGTCTGGCTCACTTTCTCCCAACCAAATAATACCAGTAATCCAATCCAAAGGTACTTGTCCATGGTGATGCATAAATGCCCCAAGGTGACACCTATTAGTGTTCTCCGCTCGCCTCATCCCATGGCTGCATTACCATTAAATTTGTTCCACGACTCTGTCTGCCGCGGTGCATCAGCTCAAATCCCCAATTGCTGAAACGATAATGTGTGCGTGCACATGGTGCTATCGTCATACATTTTTCAAGTGGATTACAGAAAAGTTTATAATGCCGTCTCCCCGGAGCTGTCACACACAGCTGTTCCTCAAACAGAAGTACGCACTTTATTTTCCCCAAACTGTCGAGCCAACAGGTCAACAACACTCGAAGGTGCTGTAACACCTCGGCGGCTGAGTTATTTTACTAGACAGACGCCGTTTATTTTCCCGCCACTTAAGGCAAAGGTCACTCCAGGGCAGGATCCCAACACATAAACCTGGCACATGTGAGCATTTCCAGGGCTCAGCCAACACTGCGGCACCGACGTGGGTTTGATTTTTGTTTTGTTAGAAAAGAGCGGGGAGATTCATCAAAACCCTGACCTCTGAACTAAACTGGCAGTCGAACCGACAAGTTAGAAATGCACTGCGTTTTCAGATAATGTGTTGTTGCCCAAATGTTAGTGGTAGTTTTATTAGTGTTGGACAACGTCTGTCATCAGTCCTTATTTATCGTTGACACCAAGGTTACAGCCTCCTTTAACTAACATAAGATATTTGATTAATAACCCTGTCACTTTTAAATATTGCATTTGAACTAAAGTTAAAAAGTACTCTGAGTAGAAAGACAGTGTCCAACAAATCAGCCACAGGTTCGCAAGATAGGAGGCACAGTCCTTGGGAAGGCATGCAACAAAGTCAAAGATAATATACCAATCAAATCTGGACATTAACATCCACTAAAAGAACAACGCGAAAACCCACAGCAGCCACTGAGAAGATGAGTAAAATATTTTGGAGACAGTTGAAAATATTTTTATGTTTTCATCCTAATTTGCTCCACAGTGGGGAGATTTGCTTGTTTGTTTGTTCAATGTGAATTATAGTTTTGTTTGTATTATGGCATTAAAAATTTAGTTTGGAAGCAACATGTGAATTTTCAAAGTGACAGAGGGAGTTCTGTCCCAGAGGGAGTTGTCCTATTTGTGCTATATCTGGAAACAATTATTGTCAAAAAGAGGATTTACAAACAGACAGTAAGATTATATCTTTTCTGTTAGTGAAAAACTCAAAATATCATTACAA